GCTCTGAGAAGCCGCCCATAGCGTACCTTCACCTCGAAGAAGGCTGAGCCGAAGGTGGGCCACTTGAAGATGAGCTTCAGGAAAGCCAGCTTGGCCTCCTCCCTGGACTTCCCTGAGTGCTTATTGAAGTAGGCGACGATGGACTGCAGGGGGAGTGGGAGTCAGTCCTCGCCCCTGCCACTGCTGCCCCATCCCCACTGTCAGCAGCTGTCACGCTGTCATGGGCTAGGCGTAGGATGGGGGTCCTGGAGGCCATGAGGGGCTCCCACCTTATCCCAGTTAATGGACTCCTGGCCTCCCTCCCCTCCCCCAAGCAGGCGGGCCAAAGAGCGTCAAGTAAGGCCGGTCACCATGCTAACCAGGACAGCAAACTACTGACAAGTGACCAGCTGAATCTTTTGCCTGAAAGACTGGAGACAAAAGCAGGTGGAGGGGAGAATGGGAGGGTGACCTTATCACATACGCGGCCACAGGAGACACTTCCCTGGGTTGCTGGCCAGCACCTTTCCCCTTTAACCCCTGCGGTGCTCAGAAACCCGCTGTAGGGCGACCCTGTTCCCAGTGCCTCCCGCGTGCTCACCCGCTTCCAGTCGTCAGGTGAGACCTGCCGGATGAGGTCCTGGGGCACCAGCTCCCGTAGCAGCTTTGGGATACTGGGGAAGTAGGACTTGTCTTCCTCGAACTTGACCCTGTAGATCAGCGCCCCCAGCTGCAGCACTTCCTCCCGCGAGCACTTATGGTAGCCTCGGAGATACTTGGGCAACTCCTGCCAGAGACAGAGCAGGTCACAGGGGGGGCTCCTTCCCTACCACCCCAAGGTGGGCGTCTGCTGCCTTACCCCACCTGGGGACCCACCCGCTTCTCCAGCCTCAGCTGGCACTGCCCCTCCAGGGGAGATGGCACAGTACAGGGAAATAGCANATGAAGTGCAGCTTCTCCAGGTTGGAGGTGGGCCGGTCCTCCAGCATGCTATTGCCCTGCACTGTGGACTCCCCGTCATGCAGCCTCTTGGTCACCTGGGCCACAGGGAGGGGACAAGGCTTGACCTGAGTAGGGTGAGGTGAGGGGCCCTGCCTCATGCTCGAGTCTGCCCAATCCTCTGGAGAGCAGAACCCTGGGAGCGCCCGGAAGAGCTGCCTCCCATCACTGTCACACCCCCAAGTCCTGTCATAGTCCACCCCGTGCAGAACAGACATTGGGTCAATGACTGACTCACAGAGCCATCAGGTGGAAGGGTGGTCCTCACATCTACTGAGCACCCACAGCCGTCATCTTGTGCCATTTCCCCCCACCCCACCCCACCCCCAGGAGCCCACAGAATGGGCATTTTCTTCCCTGGGTGTCTGATACTCAGTGGCAAAGGTGGGATTTCAGTCTGGGGCTATGTGATTGCAAGACTGGATTCAAGCCTCAGATGAGGAACAGGGCAAAGGCACAGGCAAAGTAGGCTGTGGAAGCCCCAAGGAGAAGCCTGATGGCTGTGGAGGGGTCCAAGGAGGCTTCCTGGAGGAGGTGACCCCCCAGGCAGAGAAGAAGAAGGAAGAATTTTAGGTAGAGGGACTGGTGTGTGCAAATGTAGGGGCATGGGGGAGCCAGTCACACCGCTCTGTAAATGCCTTTGCCTGTGTCTGTCTGCCCTCCCAGCCTGAACAATCCTGGGGCACAGGACCAGGACGGTGCCCAGAAAAGGCAACACGACTAAATCAATGAGTTCAAACCAATCAATAGTGTTCATGCCCTGTGGGCACTCATTCCACAGAAAGTTTCTTGGATCAAACTCAATGGGTCCATGCCCTGGCAGGAAATGTCTCACCATCTGCCACCAGCCCTCCCCAGCTCCCAGGTCCCCTGCTCTGGGAAGCCCTCCCTGACCTGGCCTCAGCCTGAGCTCACTGTCTTCTTCCTGTCTTCCTGATCACCCCCTATGCTTTCTTGCTGCCAGCCATCCCAGGTCCCTAAGGACAGGCAGCGTCAATTCCTGCTCCCATCCCCGTGGGTCCCAAGACCAGCCTTGTCCCAGCCTGGGCCTCCTAAGGCAGCCTAGGGTCTGCTCTGACCTCCTCTGTCAGTTTTGACTTCTTCTTCAGGGTCAAGTGCACCAACTTGTGCCTCACGCTGCTCTTCTTCTGCCCCTCGGGGAGGTGGACCTGCAGGATCAACGGGGGTCAGGGTCAAGTGATTGGGCCCAAAGTAATGACAAGAGAGTGGACAACGGGGCTACGGCTGGAGAAGTGTCTCACTTCCACACTAATGTTTGTGAGGTAAGCTGCCCACATTCCCACCCCTCCACCAGACAAGTGACAGATGGGAAAACCGAGACTCAGAAAAGTGTAGCCGCCCACCCAGCACATCAGCATTGGCACTGGTTCTGCAAAGCCCGTCTGCTGTGCCACGTGGTCTTACTCACTTATGGCAGCACTTTACAGTTTACAAAATGCTCAGACATTTGTTCCCATGAGTAGACAGAGGAGAGAGGGCAGTCGAGGAGGTGAGGCAGAGGCAAATTTTAGGGTGCTCCTGCTGAGGGTCCTGAGGACCTCAGGGGTGCCAGGCAGCCCTGCCCACTGTCCTGGGAGGGATGTCGACCGGAGGGCACCGGGGCCTCACCTCACCCTCGCCCTGCAGGGTCTGCAGCTCCCTCTTGTATGTCTTCTTGCCCAGGGTCTCATAAATCTTGGTCATCACAGGGATCTTCTCGCTGCCGTCACTCATGGCCGTGTGGTACTTGGGCTCTGGGAGGTCCCCCATGAACCGGAGGATGGTAATCCAGACTGCCAGGGCCGCCTGGGGGCAGAGCCATGGGCGTCAGAAGGCCCAAGCACAGGCTATGGCTCAAGCCATCAAAGTAACCTGGGAGGCTTGGGAGTGGGCTGGAGAAGCCCATAGGAGGGCCACTGTGTCCCCACTGTGTTCCTCGGCTGGGGGCCGGGTTAAGTCAGCCCTGGGACCCGCCCCCTCAGTACCTACACTGCCAGCACAGCCCCAGCCCTCACCAGCTGGTCGCCCTCATCATCATGGTACAACAGCGGCTGCTTGAGTGGCCGCCGGGTATAGGTGTGAGTGGTCGTGCCCTGGAAGTAGGTGGCAGCGAACTTGGCGAATTTATACTCAGAGAGGTCCTCCTCGTCCTCATCAGGCAGTGGCAGGGCTGCGTCCAGGTCCTCCTCCACCATCTCCCTCCGCCCGCGCTCCAGGTCCTGAGGAGATGAGAAGGGTTCCCTGCCATGGGGGCAGACTCGGGGCTGGGCTGCAGTCCCCCAACCTGTCCCTGTGGGGCCAGCTCTTCCTCCACAAGGGTGGGCTGTGTTCATCTTCTTCAATATCCAGACAGAGCCTGGTGCATGGTAGGTCCTCAATATACAAATGAATAAAAGTTTGTGAGTGGCCTGGAGGAAGACGGTGACTGACCCAAGGTCACATGACAGGCTGGTGGCTGGACAAGGCCTGGGACCAGAGGCCCCTTGCTCAGGTCTTCTCTGCTGCCCTCTTCTCAGAGGGGACCACGTGGACTTTAATTCAAAGGGGCACATGAGGAGGGAGGGCCATTACACTGGGGTTTATCCCCAGTCCCCGTCCCCAGCCTGGTACCTCAAAGCCACTGGGTGCCTGGCCCTCCTGGCCTGGGAGGCCGCCTGAAGTCCCCAGGAAGCCAAACATCTTGTCCACCATGTCGGAGTGATTGATGGGCTCGTGGCGGGCCTTCTCCATCTGCTCCAGGAGTTCCTTCTTCCTCCGAGCCTCCTCCTTCTCCTTCAGCTCTCTCTCTGCGTCCTCACGAGCCAGCTGGGCCAAGCGCTCCTGGCAGGTGAGGGCGACGCAGAGGAGACAGCCTCAGGGAGCAAGCCCTCCCTGGGGAGCCCCAGAGAGCCCCTGCAGCAGTCAGGCCACAGCCCCAACCTTCCCCTTGGCCTCCTGACCGCTGAGAAGGACTGAGCCGCGGGGCTCCCCACCCTGGGCCACACCCCGGCTCAGAGCCCAGGGCAGACCAGATGCCCAATAGTAAGGGTGCCTTCCCTTCAGGGCTCAGCTGGAACGCCTCCTCCAGGAAGCCTGCTCATGCCTCCCAGCTGGAGGGCAGCAGCCAACCAGAAATCCCAGCTGTAGACCAGCACTATCCAATAGAAATATAATGCTGGTGACGGAAGGAGAACTGACTCTGGGTGGTGAACACACAATGTGACATATAGGTGATGTGTTACAGACTTGTACACTTGAAACCTATATAACTTTGCTAACCATTGTCACCCCCAATAAACTTTAATTTAAAAAAAAAGAAAAAAATATAATGCAAACCCATGTATGCAGTGGCTACGCTCAAAGCAGTGAAAAGAAAGAGGTGAAATCAATTTTAATAATATGTTTCAGTTAACCCAATATTTCCAAAATATTATCTCAACCTGTAATTAATAGTTTAAAAATAATACTGAGATATTTTATATTCCTTTTTTCCTTACTATCTTCAAAATCTAGCATGTATTTTACACTTAAGAGAAGTTTGTCATTTCAAGTACTCATTGGCCACACGTGGCTTGCGGCTCCATCCTGGGCACTCTCACCCCAGCTCAGGCTTTTTATCTAGGTGTCGTCTCCCTGCTAGAAAAAGGGCTCCTGAGGACATGGGCCCTCTCACCCTGGAGCCACAGCCCTCTGTCCTTTGTCCTGGGCCGGGACCAGGCACCCAGTGCATGAAGGAAGGAAGGCTGCATGGACAGAGGATGGGCAGCCCCTGGTGGGTGAAGGCTGTTGAACCAGTGAATGGACATCTAAGGGCCGGGACATTCCCGGCTCACCTGGTGCTTGCGTTCAGCTTCCTCCTTGGCCTTCTTGGCGCTCATCTCCTTCCGGAGCTTCTCCTCCTCTGCCAGCCGCATCCGCTCAGCCTCCAGGCGCCGCCGGTACTGAGGGAAGGGGCAGCCGGTGAGCACTGAGCCCTGTAGCTGTCACAGTGCTTCCCACCAGCCCTGCCTCACCCCACCCGGAACTGAGCTCTGGGACTGGGAGATATTCAGTCAAATAATTTGGCAGGTAGGGACTCTGAGGCATCTGAGAAATTAGATCCAGGTCACAGAGTGGGCTGGGGCCACCGTTGATCCCAAAACCAAACCAGGTTTGCCTTGGCCTCCCAACGATTCACAAGAATGACTGGGGTCCCCAGCCCTGCCCTTGGCTGGGAGGACAAAAATGAGAGGTCTGGCCCCAGTTTTGTCATTCTTCAGAGGAGGCATAGCCCTAGGTCCCCTCCATAGGCCTCAGCCAACAGGTGGGGGTGATTTGTCCTCCTGAGACGGAGCAGCACCCCTCAGAGGACACACTCCTCCTAGTGTTAGGAGCTGTGGGTCCTGTGGACTCAAGACCCCTCACCCCCAGGCTGGGAGATGAGGGTGCTGTGGACTGGACCCCTCACCTCAGCTCGGAGGCGCCGGTGCAGCCTGCGGGCGATCATGCCCCGAGCATAGGCTTGCACGGTGAGCACGGCCCAGAGGCGGTGGCGGAATGCTTTGCGCACCAGATAGGCACGGCAGCGGGCCTGGAAGTCGATGATGTGCCGCCGGGCCAGGCGGTACTGCTGGTGCAGCTTCCGGGAGCGGTGCAGGGCCTGCAACCTCAGGAAGCCCAGCCGCATCTGCAAGGACAGAGCCCACTCAGAGCCCCGACTCCAGACTGACCTTGACCACGGGAGTGTCACTGCACTGGGCCCACTCTCTGATCGGCATGACCTGAAGAAACAACTCTGTCTCCTTCAGACTAGGACTCCCCAGAGGTAAGCTCCACCTCCTCTCAGACAAAAGTTTCCCAGGAAGTGGCCTTGGCTCCCCCTGAAATGGGCTCCTGAGGGGCCCCATCCTCAGACCAGGAGCTGGTCTCCTTCCTGTCCACCTCCCCCGCCCCAAGTTCAGGCTACAGCCCAGTTGCTCCACTGAGATCTGTGGGACACACCTGCTCCTGGCCCCCTCTGAGCTCTCCAATGACCCAGTTCTCATACCCACCAAGACATTTCAGAAGGAAAGCCAAAACACTACTGATCAGATGGGAAAAGCTGAAAGAATCAGACTTGGACTTCGGGCCGGAGGAATAGTAAGGGCAGGCTGGGTAACAGCAGGAGGCCAGCCAGTCCCCAGGCACAGGTATGTCCTGCTGCTATGGCAACAAGGCCAAGTTCAAAGGCCTTGTGGGGCCAGCAGCAGCCCCCTCGTGGAGCCTCACCAGCTCGTAGTTCCTCCTGCAGTTGTGGCCCCTCCAGTGCCTCTGGATGAGGGTGGCAGCATTCTTCAGCTTCAGAAAGTTGGACCTGAAACAGCAGCACGATGTAGGAGATCCTCCGAGCAGACTCGGCACCCAGAAGCAGCCAGGGTGCAGGTGGGGTTTGGAAGCAGGAGAGCGGGGCTAGTCCCAGCTCTGTGTCTCCCAGACACATGACCTGGGGCACCCACATATCACCTTTCTGTGCCCCAACTTCCTCATCTGTACAGTGGGTAGAATGATACCTGCCCTGCCTGCCTCACAGGATTGTCGTATGAGCCCCATAGGGAGCCTTTCCAAGGTGTTTATTGAAGGAATCAATGTATGACTAATAAGTAAATAATAGGATGGATGGAGGGAGGGAGGGAGGGACCAGATGAACGGCAAAAGCAAAAGGTTGTGGGATCTCTGTGGAGCCTGAATCCCACTCCAAAGTCAGTCCTGCCCATGTGTGAACGGTCCCAGCTGTACACGTGTTCCTTATGTCGAACATGGAACACACTTTATAATTTATAGAATCTGAAATTTCCTCTTTGAGTCATTTCAACAGGAATCTGAGACCACAGCGTCTGTCTCCACATGTATGTGCCCCATGTATCCACATGTGCATGTTTTTGTCTAGGTGAGTGTACTGTGTTCCCGGGCATACGTGGCACAGATGGGTCTGTGTAAATCATGTCTGCGTGTTCATCTGTGTGCCATACATGTGTGTGTTGGTTTCCACGGTGCGCATGGATGTGCCTGCTTATTCCCAGGGTTCACATGGTGGGGAGCAAAGGGGAGCCGAGCATATGCGCACGCACCTGTGTGTGCGCTCAGGTGGGGAGGAGCGTTTCCGGGCCTGTACCTGTCTTTGAATCCCCGGATGACTTTCTGGAGGAGGATCACTCTGTCGGTGATGGCCTTGTCCCGCTCCACCTCCAGCAGCATGTCGTGGTGGTCCTGGAGGGCAGAGCTCCTGAGCAGTGACCCTACCAAGGTCTCCAGTCCCGGGGCTGAGGCTACCCCTGGTGGGCTCTCTCTTCCTTCACTCAGAGTCCAGGCCTAGGGCTCGACAGGGCCCCACAGGCTCCCAGCCCTGCTCATGGGGGCAGCCTCCCGCAGCCACCAGCACGAAGAGAGGTGACTAGGGCTGTTTCCCAGAGGCTGGGTGGGACAGATGGAGCAGGCGGAGCCTAATTTGACCGGGTAGGGTCAGAAAGCCCAAGAAGCATCAACACTGGCTTTATCCCTGTGGCCTTCTCTGCTGAGCCCCTGCCTTTCCAGATGTCTCTGTCACATCAGCTCCTGACCTGGGCCAGGCCACTTTCATAACCCTTCAGGGTCTTGTCAGCAGCCTCCTAACCCGTCTCTTGGCCTCTGTTGTTCCCCCTGGCCCTCCCTAAGGAGGTACCTTCCTAAAACAAATCTGATGGTGATCATACAGCGATACCCCAAGGTTCCCAGGGTCTCCTCCCCTGGCACTCAGGCCTTCCCTGATCCAGGCCCTGTCGACTTCTCCAGGTCTCTCTCCTTCTCACCCTAAGCTCCCAACCCCCACTCCAGTTAGACAAACTGCATCATTTACTCATTACATCTGAATCTAATGTCGCCATTGTTAGCACTGTGCTAGGTGCTGGAGTGGAGTCTCCGTGAACCAGGGAGACAGGGGCCATGCCCTGGAGAGGCTGAGTCCTGTGAGAGAGCCCTATCAATCAGATAATCACAGACCACATCTCTCGGGGACAGGGCTCAGCACAGAGAAGCTGCTCAGCCACGCCTTTCTGAGTGAATGAACGAATGAATGAGAAGTGGACATGGAAGCTCTGGAAACCAGTGCCCATTTCTGAAGAGTCCAGAGACGTGAGGAAGGGTCAACGACAGTCCTCAGAGCTGTCTGCCTTCTCCCCCTTCCCCACACGGGCTGGGCATCAAAACCAACTCAGGCTGGAAGCCCAGCACCTGACCTTGGGCAACTCTCTAGCCCTCTCTGAGCCTCTGAAATGGGCACCATAACCCTGCCTCACTGAGCTGCTGTGACGACTAAACGAGATCGTGGACAAAACGCCCCACAGGCTCAGGGAGATGAAGGGCCTGGCCCGTGGCCCCTCAGCCAGGACGGAATTAGGCTGGACCCCAGGACGCTCACCAGCTCAGGGCTGGCTCCGCCCATCGGCCTGTACCGCCAAGTCCCCACCCAGTCCCGAAGGAAGGGGCCCCGCCCCGAAGGAAGGGGCCCCGCCCCGTCACCCAGGACAGCCAGAAATCCAGTACAGCGGAAATGGAAACGGGAAGCTGGGGTGCTGGGAGCCCACACTGTCCCTGCCGCAGCCTCCCCACCACCATCGAGTCCCAGCAAGCTCTGCTCTACGGCCAGGACTCCCCGTGACGCAGTTTCTTGCTCCCTCCCCAACTGCCAGGCTGCAGTGTCCTGCCCAGGCTGCTGTAAGAGCGGGAGGGCTCCAGGTTTGTGCCCACGGAGGGCAGGAACAGTCCCCAGGACACTAGAGGGGGTGGGGGTGGGGCCTGGGGTCCATCACAGCCCCAGATGAACCCTGCCTGGCAGGAAACCACAGAGGGGACCTAAAGATACACTCAAGAGGGCTCCCCACTCCCAGGCACATCCCGTTTCACAGATGGGGAAATGAGGATCAGAAAGGGCCGTGACCTGCCCAAAGCAGGGAAGGCAGCCACAGCGTCAAGATTGAATCCAGGCCTCCCCGGTGGAGCCCACCTTGGTCTTCTTTTTTCTCACCCTGGGTCAGTGCTCTGACCCCACCCTCAGGTCACAGATGGGCTCAAGACAAGCTGCCCCTCCCCCACCGCAGAGGCCTCATTCTGCACGGGCTTCTCCTGTCACAGACTGCAGGGCAAGAGGATCCAAAGGCCCAGCACTGACCCCACCTGAGGCTGCAGCTTCTCTGAAGCAGCCGCCGAGGGCACATTCCCACCCATGCTGGGAAGTGCACAGCCAGAGGCCGCGGCTGTCCTCACCTTCAGAAAGATCTTGGTTTTGCCGATCTGCCAGTCATCATGAGTGCCCAGCACAGCCTCAGCCATGCGCTTGCATGTCCCCCGAAGGTCATCCTGGGTCCGGGGAAGGGAGGTGCACAAGGGGATGGGCAGCCCCCCAGTGGGAAAGTCACCTGAGTGTCCCTCCCGACGCTGGGAGGCAGGGCTCTTGCTCAAGCTCTGCCCCTGACTCACTCTGTGACCCCAACCAGGTCCTGCCTGCTCGGACCCCTACTTTATTCCTTAGCCCCGCAGAATAACTGCAAAACGCTCTTCCACATCTAACATCCAGGGCCCACTTGGCAGCCCTGGTCTCATCCATTACACCACATGTGTGATGTCCACCCCTACCGAGCACAGCCATTGAAGCCTGCAGAGGCACTCCCCCTGCCTGACCCCCACTTTTCCCAGCCGTACCTGAGGTGGCTGAGCTGATGTCATGTCCAGTATACTGTCTCTATGAGAAAACTGTGGCCCTTGCCCAGCCCAGAGCTGGGACCCCCTGTCCTGGCATCTATGCTCCAGCTCTGTACCTGCTTGTAGGCCGGCTTCACCCCAGGCAGCAGCACTCGGTAGCGCTCCACAAACTCCACAAAGCTGTAGCGGATGGGATAGCCAGCTCGGCGGATTCGGATGGTCTCCATCATCCCGGAGTACCGCAGCTGGCGCACACACAGGTGCCTGTCGAACAGCTGCCGGCACAGAGCCAAAGGCATCAGCACTGGCAGCTCCTACTGGGAGGCCAGCTCTGCTCTGCGTTTCCCTAGCCCCAGATGAGGCCCAGAGAGACCAGGGCCACACAGCCGATGAGGAACCAAGGCAGGACTGAACCTGGACCTGCAGTTCAAACCCACACAGCAGCATGAAGTGAGACCCTTACATGGGGTGAACTGGTGCGTTGGGGGCACAGAGGACAGATGACTTAATTCTCCTTGGGACATCCAGTGGGGGCTTCATGGAGGAGGTGGTCTCTGCTCTAACCCTGACAGGAGAGGGGGCACTGGAAGTAGATTAGAACATGTGCAAAGCTGCAGAAGCCTGAAAGTGCAGGATACGTTGGGGGACTTTACAGGGACGGAGAAGGCTAATTCATGCCACGATTATGATGGTGCAGGTAGTGGGTGCCTTGCACAACCCCAGGGGGCACCTTGCATGTTGCAGCAATTATAAACTTGTAATTATTCAGACAACTTTCTGGCTGCTGACAGTAAAGTGTCTTAAGAAAGAGACACATTTTTCTAATTGGCACAAAGTCATTTTTGTCAAGGCAGCTGGGGAGGGCCACCTGGGGTTCCTGGAGGGGCTGGGAAAGCTAGGGAGGCGACAGGGAGTGATGGGTTTGATTTGCATTTGAGAGCCTTGTCTCTCACTTGTAGTGGGAAGGGGGCCTGGACAGGGAAGGCAGGAGAGCACTGAAGACATCCTGCTGCCAAGGTCCAGGCCATAGATGCTGACATCTGGGCCCAGAGAAGGCTCCAGGGGCATCTGAAAGCAGGAGAGATGGTACCCAACGGCTCTGGCAGGGCCCTGGCCTCAGTCCCCCGGACCCCCTGCCTTAGCCGGGGAGCTCTCTGGAGCCCTCTGTGACCCTCATGCCTCTGCAGACCTACCTGGTCCTGAGTCCAGGGGCACTGGCCAGCCCTCTCTGAGGAACGTTGCCAGGCAGGGGGCAGGGCCAGTATGTGAAGGGCTGGCTTCCGTCACCTGTTTCCTTTCCCTCCATGCACTTTCCCTGGCCGTCTGCCTTCCGTCCTCCCCCAGACCCCTCAGGCCCCAGCTTGCCCCCAGGCCTCTGGGAAGAGCCTTGTGGTACACAACATCCCCCCCAGAGCCCTGAAAGGAGGAGGCACCCAGTGAAAAGCTGTGCCCAGGGAAAGGCTGCCCAGGCTCCCGGCTCTGCAGCCTCAAGCCCCTTAACCTCCCTGAGCCTCCTGCAGTCCTGCATCTCAAATGTGCGGGCCATCAAGCACCCTGTCCCCCGTGGCCCACCCCCGCCCCCAGGCTGGTCCGGGACTGGCCCCCTGGCCAGGGCCGCTCACCATGGGCTTCTTGAACTCGTTGGGCTTGATGCAGCGCACGAAGAATGGCTGGCAGGCACCCAGGGTGCGCATGAGCAGCTCCAGCGACCGCTTGAACTGGCTGCTGAGTGTGGGCGAGCGCTTCCTGGTCTCCGCGCCCTGGGGGGACGAACCACAGCCATGGGAGGGGCTGACCTGCCCCACTCCAGCACTCCAGGAAGGGAAGCAGGAGGGAAGGTCAGTGGGGTCAGGGCCTCGGGGAGAACTGTCCAGGGAAGCAGGCTGGCCAGCACTTGGGGTTTTCTTGTGACCTGCCTGGACACACCCCCTCTGGGTAGCTTCCTGGGACCTGGGCCAGGAGAAGTGCTGCAAGGTGTGTGTGTGTGTGGGGGGGGGGTTGGTGCTGGGTTCCCCACCCCGCTGGTGTGCGGGATGACTCGGGGCAAAGCATAGCCCCTCTCTGGGTCTCCATCCTTCCTTTCCCAGAATAAATGAGTGACCTAATTTAGTCTCCTTAGGGCACTAGGGTCGTCCCTAGAGAAAGGTTAGACAGTCCTAAATTCAAACCCTGGCCCCACCACCTCCTAGCTGTGTGATCTTGGGCAGGTCACTAAACAGTGGTGACCCTCCCTTTCCTAAATGGGAATAGTGCCATCTATCTAGCTGACAAGGCTTTGACAAGGGTGAGCACAGAGCATGTAAACAGCAACCTGGGATGCGGAGTGGGGGGGAGAGAGGGGAAGGAAGGGTGCTGCCTGTGCCTTTCCCTCCTCTGGGACTAGCTGGCCGGCAGCAGGCTGGCTGGGGCAGGCCTGGATCAGCCTCCTAAGAAGGCACACAGCTGGCCTCCCACAGCGCGGGCCGGAGGCCCAAAGCTCTGTGCTCCATCAGCGGCTCTCTGAGAGAGCAGGCCAGTGACCCCTGCGCCCCTCTGCCCTGGTGGGGTCCCCTCTCAGAAGACTGTGTGGAGGTTGTTGGGGGAGGACCTGAGCAGCAAATAAACAGGAAGCAGACCATCTCAGACTGATACCGGGAAAAGGGACATAGAAACCAGACTCGTTTCCAAAGCATTTTGATATTACCGTTTCCCTGGTGAAGATTTCTTATGAATGAGTTCGATTATCATTGTAAAATTTTATACTTTAAATTAGACATAATTTTATCTGATGTCCTGTAGCACCAAAAACCAGGGGTACAGATGTAGATGCGTGAGGCATGTGGGGGCGGCAGAGGCATTGAACCCATAGACAATATGCCCCACGTTAAAATGAAACTTGCCAAGAAGAGCAAACGCTTGGTATTCTGCAATTTGCCATGTTTTCCGTTTCAGTTTTATGTGGAGCATATTCTAGAGTTTTGCCAAGTGAAGCTGGGAGTATTTGCATCGGGGTAGGGCAAATGTCAGGTCTGTGGCCCCCACGGCTGCCCCCGGACCTGACCCAGCAGCAGCACTGGGTGACCCCCACTCCGAGTGGGAGCTGTCCAGGTTGGGCTGTGCCCAGCCTGCATTAGAGCCCCTGCCATAAGCACACACAGCACAGACACAGACACACACTCATACGCACAACACACACATGCATAGCACACAACACAGAGAGCACACAGTACATACATCATACACAGCATAGAGAAACACAAAAGGACACATACACACAAACACACACACGGCACACACAGGGCACCCCTACACAGACACACACAGCACACACGTACACACACAGCACACACACATACAGCACACACCCTTCTTTGGTTTTGACCATCACACTGGAACTATTTCTGGCCTGTCTTCCCTGCCGGGCTGAGCCCCGTGAGGACAGGCGGGTCTGCCTCGTTTATTGCTGTGCCCAGGGGCCTGGCACAGTACCAATCAACAACACTGCTGAGCACAAGTGGTGCTGAACTGGCTCCAAGTGCCCAAGGGCTCCCAGAAATTGTCCACCTTCCAGTTTCTCAGGCCAAAAATCTAGGAACTGTCCCCAACTCCTCTTCTCTTCTGTCCAGTATGTCAGCAAGCCTCCTCGGCTCCCCCTCCAAAATGGGCGCAGGCTCTGACCACTTCTTACCACTTCCTCTACCGGCAGCCTGGTCCAAGCTGCCGGCATGGCTCTCAGATTATTGCAGTAACCTCCATACTGGTCTCCCTCCTCCTGTCCCCACACTCCACATGGCCCTCTACTCTGCTATTGACGCAACAGCCCGAGTGAGGCTGTTGAAACACAAACCCAGTCCTGTCTGCCTGCTCAGAACCCTCCATGCCTCCCCAATTCACTCAGCATGAACACCAAGGTCCTGGGAAGGACCGACAATCTCCCACAGGATCTGGTCCTAGTGACGGCTCGCCTCCACCACCCCGTGCTATTCCTACACGGCACCAGGCAGGCTGAGGGCTGCAGGCGCAGCTTAGGGTTTGCACTTGTTCCCTCTCTCTGCAATGCTTTTCTCCCAGAATGCCTGTGGTTGGCTTCTTCACCTCCTTATCAACATCTCTGTAAGGCCTTTCCTGATCTCCCTATTCAAAACCGCAAAGCCCCACCACCGGCATTCCCCACTCCTTAATTTTTCTCCATATCTTATATCACCACCTGACATACTGTATATTTTACATATGTATTTGCTTATTAACCATTTCCCCTTCTGCTGGGATGTAAGTTCCATGGGGACAGAGATTTGTTTTCTGTTTTGTTCACTACTGTGTCCCTGGGACGGAGGACACTGTCTGGCATGTAATAGGTGCTCAGTAAATATTTGTGATTGGATGAAGGAGTGAGTCAATGGGGCTGTGCAGCTGCAGGGTCTGCTCTCACTTCCCTGGCCACCTGGGTTTCTGATTTGGTTTTATTTCATGGAGGGGAAAGGTGCTCCTTTCTGATGTTCCTTGTTTTCTAGGATAATCTGAAGCTATCTGGAGATGGACTACAGGCAGAAGTGAAAAGTCCAAAAGTCAATGTTAAATGACTCCACAGAGATCTGAAGGGCAGACACCTGAGCATGATATGAATGAGGCTGGGAAGTCACAGGCAGGAGAAGCCACCTGCACAAAGAGTGAACTCAGGACCCTGGGGACATGTGACTGGAGTTAGATGAATGGTGGTGGTGGTGGTGGTGGTGCGGGAGGTGGTGCTCAATGCCTTGGAAGAACTGCTGTCCTCATGGTTCAGCTGACCCCTCCAGCAGCGATGGCTGGGGTGGGGCTGCCTGGGGAAGCAGACACAAGTGTCAAAGGATGGGAACTCAGGGGTTGGGGCCTGCATAGGATGCGAGTTCAGATCACTGGGCGGAGGCATCTGGGCTTCCACCCTGAGGAGAAAGCATTGCAGCTCATACACAGTCTGTATCCAATAAACAGACTTCACACTTCATACCAAGCTGATTTCCATGTTCCTTTAACAGAGCTATCATGTTTCCAGCAGTTACAAAGAACATTTTCTTTCCCAGGGGTGATGCTTACAGAGATAGCACAGCACAGTGAAAGAGAGCAGGGACTTGAAAAGCCTCACGTTAGTCCTCACTTGCATGTGACCTTGGACAAGTCCCCGTACCTTCCTGACACAGACCTGGATCAAATCCCTGTGTTGTAAGCTGTGTGACCTCGAGCAAGGCCCCTCTGGGCCCCAGCTTCTTTAGCTGTAAAATGAGAGCAATAGTCATTACTCCCCAGGTTGCTAGGGGAGCGACTGAGGTGAGAAATGGAAGTGCAGAGCTCACAGCCCGGCCCAGAAGATGTCATTGGTATCAAATTGTCACTGCTGTGTCTAATTCTGTGCTCCAAAAACTCCCTCAGACGTGGGCTATTAATGGAGAATCGGGGTCTTATAGCTGGCCCTCTCCACGGTTCCTCAGCAAGTAGATTCTACTCCCAGGGTCCAGGGAAAGAGCCCTAGAACAGGAAACTTCCCAGAGTGGTCTCCAGATGCCTCCAGATGCTTTGGAATGAGAGGAGAAGGGGTATAAGGAGAAGATGGGGTTCAGTGGTCTCGCAGGACTGTCCAAGGCCAGGAGGAATGGGTGGGTCTGGCAGAGGGTGGTCTGGGAACTAGGAGAGGAAAGAGTGGAGGAGAGCCCAGAGCCACACCTTTGTCACCAATACTGTGACCCTGTGATAGGTGGGTGCAGGGTTGGCACTGCTGGGTGCTGGTGGTTTAGGCACCTGGAGCCCGTCCCTGGTGGGGGCCCTACACTCACCCCATCAGCAGGATGGGCCACAGTGTTAACCTGGGGGGTGGGATACCAGGGCCAATCCATGGGCAGAGGACAGAAGCCGCCACACAGACATGCTCCCTGCTCCTGATGTGTGGGTGCCCTGCTCTGCTGTGGCTTTTATGAAGTGTTTCAGAAATCTATGAGGCACTGGACAGCAGGGGGATGCCAGATGTGCAGAAAGGAAGAGGGACTCAGCATTAAGGCTAAAAGTGGGAGGATGTCAGTATTAGGCAGAGAGGAAATTGAGGGTTGAGAAAAGGGAGGCAAAGGAGATGGCAGGGCTATGCTGCTGCTAAGGGGTCCCCAGCACCTTTGGGACCTAAAGTACCTTGGGAGCCACAACCTGAAGTTTCCATGGCCTAAGGAGATTTGGGGATGATGACTTGTAGTGCCAGCTCCCCAAGATGCTGTGACTTGGGGTGAGCCACACCCCATCTCTAAGCTTCAGCCCCCTGTCTGCAAAATGCGGAAAATACCACCTGTCCATCCTGTCCCACAGGATTATCACAGGATCTGACCAAATCACAACATGGAAACACTTCGCAGGGCCTGACTAAGTCAAAGACTCAATTTGGGAATGGCTTTGGATGACATGGGTTGGATCCCAGCTCTGCCCCTGGTTCACAGGTAGCTGGACAAGTGTTTTTTTCTTTTTCTAGGACTCAGTTTCCCTCCTTTAAGAAACCAAGATGCTTGCAGTACACACAACTCAAAAACAAAAACAAAAATGAAAACAAAAAAACCACTCCACAAACCACTCCACAAAAAAACACACTCCAAAAAAAAAAAAAAGAAGAAGAAGAAGAAACAGCCAGCCCTTTCCCCAAGCCTCAGTGCCACGGGAGCCAAGGACACAGCCCACCCCCGGGGGCTGCCGAGGCCTCTCCCGCCATCCTCTGACCCCAGGTCTGGGTCTTTTACCTTCGCAGAAGCTGCTGACTGGCGGAGAGTGCCCGATGAATAACCACAGAGAAACTATAACAGGAACCACCGTGCAGGGTTGAGATGGGGAGGGGAGGGGGTGAGGAGAACGTGGTGGGTCAGAAAACGGAAGGCAAAACCCACCAGGGAGAGAGGAAGACCCTTAGGGCAGATGTCTGGGCTCCTGGGGGCCAGGGGCAGCATGGGCACCTGGACGAGCACCAAGGGGGCAGTGGCTCTGCCCTTCCCGTGAGCCCCTCCGTGTACCCTCCAGGAGGCCATGAGACAGGAGGAGAATATGAAATAAAAAGGCATCTGATATGATCCTGCAGGAAAAAGTCCACCAGACTACCACTCTAGGGACAAAGGAAACGTAGAGGGTGGGAAGTTCTCTGCCCGCTGTATGAGGTCCAGGGCTGGCACAGATATGCCCTCTGTGTGGTTTCCCTGAACACCCACACCCATCCACATCTTTGGGGCTGGACGTGCTCCCTTCACTGTGCTCCCTGTTAGCCCTAGAGGTCCAGGCAGGGGAACCCCACGGTAAACTGAGTCCTGATCAGGCTCTGCTCTGTGCCCTCTCATGTGACCCTTCCCTGGGCCTTGCACCCCACAATCAGTACAAGAGGACCAGATGGGAGGATCTCGGAGGCCCCCACGTCCCTCCTGGAACTGCAGCAAAGCACTGCGGCTAGAGGGGCTCAACTGAAGCTATTGTCAAGGGCAGAGGGGGTGCTAGACTCAGGCCTGGCTTCTGGGGGGCCCTTCCCACCCAACGACAGCCCAGTCCTGACGTTACCATGGCGACGTCGGCTTGGAAGATCTGCTTGATGAACTTGTTCCTGGAGGAGTGGACCAGCTGGATGATGTCTCCATGTAGGGTGTCCCGGTTCTTCTCCAGGAAGCCTGGGCAGCGGCAAACAGTGGTCACACCTTGCCAGCTCTGGCAGACAACACTTGGCTCTTCCCCAGATTCTCCCCAACAGCCAGGAGGACCCTCCAAATTCACCTAGTTCAACCACATCCAGGAACACAGAGGCCTGGAGCTGCTATTATCAGCAGCTCTCACTAGACCAGGGAGGTTCTCCTGCACAAGAGACCCAGTGCCAGGCTGCCCACTGGTGCCTGAGGAGGGGAGAGCTGCAGGAAGCACTCAGTAGTGCAAGCGTGGGCTCTGGGGTTAGGATGGAACAGTAGGGCTCTAATTAAAGCTCTGTGACAGACACACTATGGTACCCTAGGAAGGCCCCCTCTGGGCCTCAGCTTCCTCACCTGTGAAATAGGAATGACAGTACCCATAAGCTCTTGCCTCTCTTCAGATCACCTCACACCACACCCAGGTCATATATAAAATGCTAGATTAAAAACAGTACTTTCTGAACCAGAAAATGCTAATAGAATTGTTTCAAGCCGTTGAAAGCTGATTAGTGACTTAGGCAAGTCCTTTCCCTCTGTAGGCCTCAGTTCCCAAATCCACTAAAACGGAGGACCCATGTGAACCCTCCAGATCTAACATTCTATGATTTTATAACTTCATGTAGAGTTCACTCATTTTCATTCCCGTTTCCTCAGCAACAGCTTGAAGCCCGGCATATAACAGATGCTCAGTGAATGTTGGTGAATTGAAAGCAGAGGGTCAAACAGATACTTATACACCCATGTTCATGGCAGCACTATTCACAATAGCCAAAAGGTGGAAACAAACCAAATGTCCATCAACAGCTGAATGGAGAAATAACACACACACACACACACACACACACACACACACACACACACACAGAGAGAGAGAGAGAGAGAGAAATATTATTCAGTCATGAAAAGGAAAGAAATTCTGACACGTGCTACAACATGAATGAACCTTAAGGACATTATGCAAGTGAAATAAGTCAGATACAAGAGGACAAATATTGTATGGTTTCACTTATATGAGGTACTTAAAATAGCCAAATACATAGACAGAAAGTAGAATAGAGGTCATCAGGGGCTGGGGGTGAGGGGGTACAGAGCTTCTGTTTGGGCTGATGAATAGGCTCTGGAAATGGATAGTGGTGATGGTTGCATTATATTGTGAAGGCACTTAACACCACTGAATTGTAGACTTCAAAATTGTTAAAATGGTACATTTTATATTATAATTTTTTTTAGTCTTATAAAAAAAAAAGAGGGAGCGCTGAGTGCAGTGTTTCCTAAGGCCCCTTCTCTGTCCGTATTCCTGGTGTCCCTGTCCTGGGCTGGAGAAGGGGAAGGGAGGGAGGGGCACGGACAGAGACAGCCCCCAGCCGCCCGCCGGTACCTTGGCTCTCATAGTAGACGACACCGGCAAAGTGGTTGATTCCAAACTGGGTCTCGTGGTTGTTCTTGGGAGGAATGTAGTTCGTGTTGAGCTTGTGCTGGGAGTTCAACTTATGCAACATGGTGGTGTCCGTGCCCTGTGGGAACCAAGCCGGGGCGGCTGTCGAAGCCACCCTCTCCCCACTTTGCACCGGTCCCACTGCCTGTCCTGCACCACGTCTTCTCACTGTCTCTTCTGTCTTTCTCGAGAGCTTCTTCTCCCTTTACTTAAACCCCATATAGAAGCTCTCCATTTCCCCAGCTGTTAAGGTGGTGAAGTGGAGCAACACAACCTTGATAGTACATTCCAGTTTAGAAAATCTAGTCCCACGACTGACAGCACGAAGGAGTCTCTCCTCCACTGCAATACATATTCTGGGTCTGGAGCACCTAGTCTGGACCAGCTGCATGCTTAGATCTTCATTGTTTGGTCCAGGACCCAGTGGATTGTAGGTGATTCCCAAATGTCAGATGAATGCACTTGAATTGGCCCCAGAGCCACCCCAAGAGGCAGGTGTCGTGAGTCCCATTTTGCGGATGAGGAAAGCTTAAACTCAGTGTCGGGGGGGGGGCGTTGTGTGCCTCCTCCTTCCCCTCCGCCCCCGCTCCCCCCAGCTGCTAGGCCACAGTGGCGGACCCCACTCTGCCGCAGGCCTACCTTGGGGAACTTGCTCTCCTCATCGATGAGAGAGATGATGTTCATGGGCTTGTTGGCGATCATGTCCAGGGCTTCCTGGTTGTCAGTGAACTCGATGTGCAGCCAATTGATGCTCTCCAGGTCATACTCCTCCTGCTCCAGCTTGAACACATGCCGCACGAAGAACTGCTGCAGGTGCTCGTTGGCAAAGTTGATGCAGAGCTGCTCGAAGCTGTGGGGAGAGTGGGCACAGGGACACAGGGACACAGGGGCCACGGGACGCGTTGGATGTCACTCAGGGCCTGCTCCACCACCCAGGGGCCCAGCTCTGCCTCCATGTGCAGCATGCCCTTGGGCACTTGTTCCCATTGCGGACTCTCCAACCTCTAAGGTGGGGCGGGATTGTCAAGTCCAACTCCCTCAATGTGCAGAAGAGGACCAGAAAGGGCAAAGCACTCGCCCAAGGTAACTCAGTGAGTCAGGGGGAGAGTTAAGGCTCAGGACCCACAGTTCAGGACCCCTTTTCCCTGCATGACCAGGCCCTGTGGGGAGGGCTGGTGGGTGGGCCTCAGCCCCTGGCAGGACACCTGGGGTGGGGAGAGCTACGGCGCTAGGGAGGTGGACATAAAGAATGATCCAAAACAGCAGCACCTGGGAAGGGGGCTGACGAGAGTTGGAAGCAGAGCCTTGATGGCTGATATCTCTGAACCACCAACTCGGCGCTCTCCCAGGTGACACTGTGTATTCATGTGGGTGTTTTGGCAGTGGGGAGAGGGCTTTGAGACATCCAAACATTACAGGAATTGGAGTGATTTGCCAGGGGTCACATAACTAGGAAGTGGGGCAGGGCCGCTGCCTCCAGCCGCAGGATCCACCTGGACGTGCTCCATCTGTCTTGTCTGCGCCTTCCATGGCCCCAAAAGTATGGGACCCCAAGCGTGGCCAAGACCTCTATCTCAAGCTTGGCCCAGGCCTGGCCTCACCTGCTTTGAGGCACCTTGCAGCTTGGACACCGGGCAGATAGAGTCCATGATGGTGTAACAGCCTCCCTATTTGCCTCCCCCTCCCCCGCCCTCAGCTGACTCCCGGGACTGGGGACTGGAGGGGACAGGAAGGAAGGGCAGAGGGCCCGCCAGGATGACTGCAGTCAAATTTTCCGAAAGCCTGGCAGAGGGTGTTTGGCACCAACTAAATGTAGTTTAAAAGGAGAGATGTGACATTTCTAGTGTCCGTGTTACGGAAGAAAATTCCCACAAGGCAGAGCCCCACGTGGTACCTGTTCACAGCAAAGTTCTCGAACCCAAAGATGTCCAGGAGGCCTATGGAGCGGCGAGAGTTCTTCACTTCCTGGGACGGGGGCTTATAAATCGCAGCGTTGATCTTGTCCACAATCCAGACAAAAAGCCGCCCGTAGATTCCCTGAGAGGCAGGGCAGCCTCATTAGCCACTGGGCCCAGCCACACCCTCCCAGGGAGACAGGCCAGGCTCCTGGGCCCTTCGTGGCCTCGCTCCAGCCCCTTCCGTGAAGCAGAATGCTGTTTGAAACCGCCAAACCTTTACTCAAGCTGCTCCCTCTCCCTTTTCTGCTTGAACAATTCCTACTCGTTTTTCAAAGCTCCTCTGAGAAACCTTGCCTGACCCATAGTTTGGGAAGAAGTCCTCCTTTGGGGGCTCCCATCTCTCCACCCCTCTCTGTCTCTCCATCAGTTCTGAGTATCTTGAGGGTCCCAGAGCCCAGTCCAGGGCTTGGAGCAGGGAGGGGCTCAATGGACAGCAAACAGATGACTGTGGAAACAGGCAGGACTCGTGCCCTCCCCACCCAGCCCAGCCCCTCTCTAGTGTCTTCTTTGAAAAGGTTAGAAAGGGTGGCTCCTGGGCTGGGAACAGCACAGCAGACAGAGCGCCCAAGGAATGCGACCCAGCATGAGGCCCAAGGATGCTGGAGAAGAAAGCAGGCCAGGGTGGAGGGCCTGAGGGGACCAGAGCTGGCAGGGCCCCTGGAGGGCATACTGCTCAGCCCCTTGTGGGATGAATGGGGCTCGGGGGAAGGCAGACCCAGAAAGAGCCAATGGCGGGAGCCTGGACCCAAGGGCAAACCGGGGTCAAGGCCCTCGGCCAGCTGTGTGGATTCCTCAGCTCCTGCCCATTAACAACCCAGCCTCCTGATACGCAGGGAGAGCCGGTGGCCACTCCACAAACGGCCCACCTTGACGAAAGCATCTCGCACATCCAGCGCCTGCTCCCTGCTGAGCGGGGTGGACACCGTCTCCCCCCGAGTGATGAGGGTGCGGCTGGTCAAGCAGTTCATCAAGTTTGGAGGGTTCACCTGGTAGGGTGATATCCAGGCACTCACCCAGCGGCCGCCAGCCCGTCCCTCCCTCTACCACACCAAGAACCCCCTCCTACTTTCCAACCACGCCTCGCTCAGGCTGTTCCCCCCACTAAGAATGCTCTTCCCCATGGTCCCACAGCCAAATCCTCCCCAGCCATTAAATCTCACCCAAATGCTGCTGAGAAGAAACTGCTCTCTCCTCGACAGGCCCCTCCTGTCCCCTCAGCATGTTACCTGTCCCTCTCAGCACTTGCTTGACTCTGACTTTATTCACCCCAGTTTTCCAACCCAGGGCAGAGCCTAGTAAATGTTTGCTAAAAGACTGACAGACTGACTCACTGAGGACCCTGGGCCCAGGGCCCCCATCCTCCCCAGGGGCAGCTGGGCTGACAGGCAGTGGGGCTCCCAGGCTCTGGGCTCTCCTCCTCCTCAGGGACCCGGGCCCAGCACAGATCCTGCACACAGCTGGTTCTCAGTGTTGCACTTCTAGGACCCTTCAAGCAGAGGACCCAGCTCCTTGATCCACACATGCCCAGCCCCCTGAGCCTAAAGCCAAAACTCTCCCTCGGACAGAGACAGAAGCCGCTGTGGAGACAGAAGGCCAGGCACTGACCTCGAGCAAGGATGCAGCTGTGGCCAGGGACGGGGAGAAGAGGACCTCACAGGCATCCAGGTTTTCAAACGTGCGGGCTGTCAGCAGCAAGAGGGCACAGTGTCAGGCAGGGAGGGTGGGCATGGGGGAAGGGGTAATCTAGGAGGACCAGGTGCCGTGTCTACTCTCAGGGGGCCTGCCCTATTCTCAGAGGGCATCAGCACTGTGATTAAATGCTACTCTGGGTCAATATATGTTTGACGAATGTCCTCACCCTGAGCTATGGGCACCATGAAAGTAGGAACCGTGTGTGTCCAGCACCTGCCTTCATGCTTGGTGGCATCCACGTAGCAGACACTGGCAGTCACACCCCTCTCTCCTAACCTCCACTCCAGACTCTCAGAGCAATCAGTGACTCCTATGAGACAGGCTTTGAGAACTGGCTTAGCTCAGTGCCTGATACCATCTGTCCTTCCCCAAATGTGCCCTGCTTTCTCAGGCCTCAGGGCTTTTGCACATGCTCTTTCTTCTGCCTGGTGCTCCCTTTCTCCACGTCTCTTCGTCTTTCAAGACTTACTAGACTGTGAACTCCTTGGATCTGGGATCATTCATGCCTTCACTGAGCAAACTTTCCCAGAGAGACACTTTTGACTTAAGTTCAGGCTCTTACTCAGCTAAAGGACCGTAGGCAAGAGCAGAGTGGGACTTGGTGCCTGCCTCAGAGGACCACCTCCCAGCCTGGCACATAGTAGGTGCCCCAGGAGTGTTAGATAAGTGAACACGTTTTCTTCTGTAGCCTTCCCCCTTTTCTGACGATGGCTGTTTAGGCACTCACACCTTAGTATGAATTAATCCAGAGATGTACCCTCTCTCCAAGACATCTGACCTTAAAGAAGAAACCAAATTTGGAAGGGGTCTTACAGGGCCCATAGTCAACCCTAGTATACTTTATCTGTACATCTCTATTGTAGGATTTCAGCACAGTGAAAGCACACCTGAGGCTAGCAGACTGTTCATATCTACCAGAGGGGAATTCTCCACCCCAAAGAGGATATCAGCTGGAACAGAAACTGAGCCACAAATACCCCCTGGACAGCTAGGTGCTGTGCTGCCCTTGAATTCAGTGCAGGGTTGGGCAGGGAGGGAGGAAGGGAGGGAACACGCCATTCGGGCTGCTCACCCTCATACTGCAGGTTGCCCAGGTGCAAGATGGAGGCCAGGAGCTTTGAGATCTCCCAGTTCTCGGTGTCGGTGAACATGAGCACCTTCATGGCGGAGCGGATGTTGGCGTACTCCTGGCTGTCCTCCCGGCCCTCACAGGTTATGCAGTTACCCTGGTGGGCAGAGCAGGTGCAGGAGGGCATCAGGGAGGCCATGGGTATCCCCAGAGAGGCAGTGCCTGGGCCGAAGGGCCCTCACTGCCAGGCCAGGCCAGCCCGGGGCTCCTAGTGAGCGCCATGACGCCCCCAGAGAGCCTAGAAAGCTCCTGCCTGGGCCCTCCCATTCTCCCCCCTCTCCCAATGGACACCCACCCTCCGGGATTTGAACGCCTCACCAAGTGCAGCCTGGGGTGGAAGGAAGAGGGGTAACTGCAGACAGGTGGAACATGGACAGTCTGCCATATTATGTGTGTCTTTGGGCCTATGTGTGTGTGTGTGTGTGTGTGTGTGTGTGTGTGTGTGTGCGCGCGCACGCATACAAGTGTGCCAGCCAACTATAGGAAGTGTCCAGGAAGGCCCGTCACACCTACCCCCCCCACACACACACACATGCACCTTTGCTGTCCCACATCCCTCAGATGCCATAGCCCAGCCCAGCTTCAGGCAACCAGTCACAGGCTCTCCCCAGGGCTAAAGAAGCTGGTGCCCCCAAGCCAGCCTGCTGTGTGTATGCACCCCCCCGCCCCCGGTGCTGGGTGGTAGCAATGGCCCCGGGGCTTACTTCTCCCTGGTAGTTCGATAGCAGCAAGAAGCTGGCACCAGAGCCTTGCAACCAGCAAGCCCTTGAGGCTGAAGCCACAGTAACCTGCACCTCCTACAATCCTGGGGGCCTGGCAGAGGTCCCAGTCTGCACGTCCTCAAAGACTGAACTAACACAGGTCCGAGTGCATGTACACGTGGGTGCGTGTGTGTCTGGGATATCTACACACATTTGCGTGTCTGCGGTGAGAATTTGTCTGAACGTGTGTGCAAGTGGGTGTGTGCCCGAGTGGGGAATAGGCCTCATGGCATATGCGAGCCCCGGGTGGGCTGGGGCAGGTCAGGACACAGGAGAGAGCCCACATGGAAGTTCCTACCCACGGGCCGACAGCTGGGGAGGGGCTGGGTGGACTGCCCCTGACCTTGCTGGGGCGGGTGTCCCCCTCCCTGGATGCCCCACCTCGGCCTCACCATGGCCAAGTAGTTATAGTCCGTGGCCTGGCCCAGGCCCAGCTTCTTCTTCTGGTCCTCACTCATCCCCTCCAGCATGCAGTAGAACACGTGGTAATTTCTCTCATCCGGGGCCTAAACATGTGGGACAGGGGCAGGAGGGCAGGAGGAGGCCATCAGGAAGACTGGAAACATAGTTTGCTAGTTTACCAACTGGGTTTCGTGAAAAAGCCCCCATGGTGCTTTCACGGTGGGATGTCAGACACAGGCAGGCAAGCAGGTGGCCGCCTAGGGACAGCTGAGGCTATGCAGATGGTGTGTATCCCACGCAGCCCTGAGGCTGGGGGTTCCTGTGCAGGGATAGCTCTGCCCCTGGGTTCGGGCTCACCTGGCGACAGACGCGTGACTTTTCCAGCAGGTACTGCTCGATCTTGGCGCCCTCGATGGCACCCCGTTTGTTGAAGTGGATGTCAATGTACTTCCCGAAGCGGCTTGAATTGTCGTTTCGGATGGTCTTGGCATTCCCGAATGCTTCAGGGTGGGTAGAGGGTCACGGGCAAGGTCAGCCCCCACCCAGCCACCCAGCCCCGCCCTGAGGGCCCTGGCCCTACCTTCCAGGATGGGGGTGGCCTCCAGCACCTGCTGTTCGATCCACGAGTGCTGCCCACTGATGGCCGCCAGGAACTGCAGGATCAGCTTGGTGCTCTCTGTCTTCCCTGCCCCAGACTCCCCGCTGCCGAGGAGAACCAGAGACAGGCAGGAGCCTCTCACAGTCTGCATTGCCCCCCTCCCCACAGGGCTTCAGACCAAGCTGCTTCCCCTACCTGTCCTCCTCCTTCTATAAAATGGGCTGACAATATGGACCTTTTAGAGCTGGGAGAAGACTAAAAGAGCTCAGAGCTCTGCCACAACCAAAGATTACTTTCCTTCCTCTTCATTCAGACATGCACAGTCTTGCCATAAACCATGGCACGTATTAGATGCTTGATCAATGCTTTGTTCTTTTACCCTCTGCCTGAGAGAGAACAGGAGCCTGAGATTTCAACTGACCATAACTTGACAGAAGCCAGCTGTAAATAAGGTTGGCTTCAAAAGCCAACATGAGCTTTGGTAGCATTAATAGAGATATAAGGCCTGGGAAAGGGGAGGTGATTCTCTACATTATGAGGCATTAGCAGGAACACAGAGCTGGAGCTGCAGGGGCTAAGCCTGGAGCTCCACGCTGGTCCTGGGCCACTCACCTGATAATGCAGCACTGGTCACGGCTGTTGCGTTTCATATTGAAGTAGCAATTATCAGCAATGGCAAAGATGTGGGGTGGCATCTCCCCAATCTTCTTGTTGGTATACTGGCGAATGTGCTCTGGTGAGTAGATGGAGAGCAGCTGGTAGGGGTTCACAGCCACCAGGATTGAGCCCGTATACGTCTGTGGGCAACAAGGAACAGAGAGCTCACCTTTTCCCATAGGAGAGGCTCTGATTCCAGAAAGCTCTCAGGCTCTGGCCTGCTTTGTCCTTCTGGGCGGGAGAGCACTGGCTTTGGAGTCACGTGGCTCTAGGGTCTGAATCTAGCCTTCCTAGGAGCTGGGGACGGAGCCTTCAGACTAGCATTGGGTCTGACTCAGAGTAGGTGCTCAGTAACATTTGATGAAGGGAGGAAGGAAGGGAGGGAGGGAGGGTCTCTGAGACTCAATATTCTTATCTTCATCTAGACAATGGGCACAAAATAACTGTTTATGAAGATGAAAGAAGATGGTTGACTAAAATTCATAGCACGCTGTAAGAACTCCTCAAATGCTGTCTCCCACCTTTGTCTCCAAGCCCTGCGGTCCAAAGTTTTGGAGCGAAATTCATAAACTAGACCTTTCCAGAGCAGAGGCTGGGTTGGTGAGGGGGGAGTAGAACCAAGCCATAATGAGCTGAAGGGGCTGGGATGTGCGGTTTAGCGGCTGGGATGTGCGGTTTAGGGGCTGGGTGGGCCCCATTCTCTGCAGCACTACCCCTGTGCTCTGGGGACAGAGAACCTCAGCTGTACTAGGCAGAGTAGGCTCAGGGGCCAGGTGCACCCCAGGGAGCCTTCTGGGGGCCGTCTCTCCATGGGCTCCTTTCTTAGTGCACAGAATGGCCACCTGTGTGCAAGATTTCCTGCTGTGGACTCTGGGCTCTGCCACACAGGGGACAACAGGCCTGGTCCTCCTGCCACCAGGGCACAGTGAGGCACTCAAGGGCAACTTCTCCCTCCACCCGCCCCTTCCTACCGCAACCTGAAAAGGTCAGGCCCAGCCTGTAATTGGTTATGGACGCATGGACATTTGGGCCTGAGGAGGCTGGAGAAAGATGTGACCACACAGGGAAGATGACAGCCCCTCCCACCTCCTTCCACCCAGGGCTCAGTGCGTCCGCCAGAGTCACAGCCATGCCCCCGCAACCTCAGCCAGGACTGGCCATGCAGGGAAGGCTCTGCTTCCGGCACTGCCACTGCGTTCCAGGGGAAACGCCCGCCCCTGGGCCAGGTGTGGCCATGCAAAGCAGCCCTGGGCTGGGCGTCCGACACCCAGGCTCCAGTCCTGGCCAGGAGCTGCCTTTCTGTGGGCTCTGGAGGACTCTCCTCTCCCACCCGTGCTCTTCCTCCAAGCAGCCCATTCCAGAAGCAGCTGAGCCTCACTATGCTGACCGTGTGCAAGACCCCAAGCAGGAAGAGGTGGGTGGGGTGGGGAAGGAGGCTGGAGGGGAGCAGACAGGCAGAGCACAGGGAGAGACGGAGCGGCTCTGTGCCACGCTCACCTGCCCGCCACAGCTGGTCTAAGTTGGAAAGTGGGGAGCAGGAGGAAAGGAAACTGGTCAGTGAGGTACAGAATGATGAGAGCCTTCTGTACCAACAACAGCCCAGGGCTGGGCTGACAACTTAGAGCAGAACCTGCCAACCTCCAGCCCTGGGACGCCTCAGCCACCGTCCCCTACAGCTCAGCCCTGCCCAGCTGTGGGAACCAGCTAGACTCTGTTCCCCGGGTGGCGGAGTGACCACAAGGAGTATCCCTGTGGCAGATCACTTCACTTCTCTAAGCCTCAGTTTACTCATCTGTAAAAGGGGAATGGGTAACATCCACCTCCTGGGCTGTCGTAAAGACCAAAGGGCCTAACCTTGGACAGGCACCTTCCTTTCTTCTTACTACTTCCTTAATAACGTAACATTCAACTGCCAGGCCCACGATTACCATGTGGCATGAGGCTGGCTCCATGTAGCCATTCAAGAGCCTTTCACTAAGAAACGAGGGGAGGCTGACAGCCACTCCCTTGGGGCCAGGGAGGGAAAGCCTGGGGCTGTGGGAGCTCAGAGGAGGTCCTCCCAGATTCCTCAAAGAAGGGATGGGAGAGGAACAGCAGAGGGCTCTCAGTGGAAATCAAGCACAGAGGCGTGAAAGGGCGTGACATTTGGGAGGTCTGCTGCGGAAAGGTCGCCCTGGCAGCTGTGGGAGGATGAATAGCAGCTCCAGAGGCTGGAGGCAGAGACACTATTTCAGACCTAAAGAGCCAGTTAAGGGAGGCGGGGGTGGGAAAGGGGACAGTGGGGGGAAATCAGGACCACACAGAGGTGGCCCTGCCACCTGAGAGCAGGCTCTGCCAACAAGCGTGTGGCAGGGCAATACCAGGGAGGGCCAAGGGCACCCTGGACGTGACGAGAAGCCTTCCTAAGACCCTCTTCTCTCATCCATGTCTTCCAAAGTCCTCTCTACTCTGTCCACAGCTCAGAAGGCCCTCCAGAGCACCAGGGCCCTCAGTCCCCTGTCTCCTGGACCTCCCCATTTGATGCCCACCTGCCTGTCCAGACTGGAACTTGCCCTGCCCTTCGACCATCTTCCACCCAGGGCCAGACCTGGGAGGTGTCTTGATGCCTCGCTCTCCTTCACACCAGCCCACCGCTTTCCATCAGCGCAGCCACCCCCGGGCCCAGTCCACCACCGGCTCTCAGCAGACCACTGCAGGTACCTCCCCTCTGGACTTCCCACTTCCACACTGTCCCCTACGATCTATCCTCCACTGGGAGCCAGGGCTAGCTTGTAAAATATCTGCTCATGTCAGGTGGCTTCCTATGGCTTCAGGACAAAGCCCATGTCCTTTCTTGCCCCCAAGCCCTGGCCTTCCCCAGCCACATCCCTCAGCCAGAGGTTCCCTCTACTGTAAACCTTCTGTTAAAAGCCCCACTCTCCATCCTCTGTCCCTTCCCCCCAGCTAATTCCTGCTCATTCTTCAGGTCCAAGCTGAGATGAGCACCCCTGCAGGACGCTGGGCACCCTCTTGTGTGACCCCTCACAACCCACATAGTCCCTGCACTTAGCCCACCTGACTCCTGCATAATTCTAGTTCAAAATCTCCGCCCCCAGCCTCGCTCTCCCCTATACTCAGGGCCCAGCACCCTGCACAGCACATAGGACACTCAGCAAACCTTTGCTGACAGACTGAAAAAGTGACTGTATTAAAGGGTGGAGAAGAAATTAACTGCACCCCACAGGAAACAGCAAGGAAGGGAGCTGAGGGGATAGGTCCATCAGCAACACTGAGGCAGCCCTGCCTGCGCTGACGGGAAGGGTGGCCAGGTCATGGGGCTAGTGGAGAAGCACAGAACAGCGTGGGGAGCAATGCTACTGTTTATATAGGAAAAAAATTTAAATATATATGTATATATATAATTTTATATCATGTGTATGATTTAGACACATACACAGCCAGCCCTCTCTATCCGTAGGTTCTGTATCTGCAGAATTAACCAACCACAAATCGAAATCATTTTTGAAAAAAATGTTACATTGTTGTTGATGTGTGCTGTGTAGTTAGGCCTACCATGGTTGCATCTGTACTGCTTTTTTTCTTGTAATTTTCCCTAAACAATATAGTATGACAACTACTTACATTCATTTACATTGTATTAGGTATTATAAGTAATCTAGAGATGATTTAAAGTATAAGGAAGGGTATGCATAGGTTATATGCAAATATTACACCATTTTATATAAGGGACTTGAGCATCTGGGGATTTGGGTATCCCCAGGGGGTCCTGAATCAATAATCAATCCCCCATGAATACCAAGAGACCATTATATATACTAGATTGTCTTTCTTTTGAGGATAGATTAGGAATTAATAGCAGTGGTTCTCTGTGTAGCAGAAGGAAAACCTCCAATGTGTAGCACATATACCGATTTCAAAATAAATAGTAAAAGCAAGGCCTCTTCTTTCAGTGAGAGGACCCCCCCAGCAGAAGGGCAAAGACACTCCAGCTGCCAGGAAGATCCCTGTCGGGGGCGGGGCTTTGCAGCTTCCACTCCATCTCCCCCTTACCTCTTCAGGAGGCCACTGGGAAGTGTGGTCACATTCCCGTCTCAGATGGGAGAACTGAGCCTCCCAGAAGGGGAAGGGCTTCAAGGTCACATAGCAGCAGGTAAGCAGGGAGCGGGATGAGCAAGGGATGCTAGCACCAGAGGCCCAGGTCTTGCCTCCCCCCGTGGACTTCCCCAGCTCCCAGGACTGTACCTGCGGGACTGTGGAGCTGGTGGTAGGGACAGTGGAAGAAGCAAGGGGCTTGGCCACTGCTGGCAATGAGACCCAGGCCCGCCTGTCCCTCTCTGGTCCTCAGTGCCCACTCATCCCCTGAGACTCTCAGCACTGCTTCCTGAGCCCTCTGGCCCTCTCTCTTCAAGAGTGCATAGTCCGCAGAGAGTTAATGTCCAGCTACCCAGCAGAGGCCTTTTGCTCTAGCCTCCAGTAATAAAACCTGCTCTGTTGGGGCCATGGGCTGGGGTGGGGGAGAGATAAAGACTGTTCCCAAGTACCAGACACAACTCACAAGGTCACCATGGGCCTCCAAGTGCCCAGGGGGAGATCAAGGGGCCTCTCTTAGGCCAGAGAAACACCCCAGGAATCCATTTTACCCCAAGCTCCACCTCCTCCAGGAAGCCCCCCTGGCCTGCTAGCCTGGGGCTTCTACCTTAGCAGGCCATGAAGACCAGGACACACACCTTCCCAGAGTCACAGAGGTGCCCACCCAAGGAGCCTCGCCATTGTGCCAAAGGGAAGGCTGAAACCAGAGAGTGGCAGAGACTCCCCAAAGGCCACATGCCAAGAGCAGGACCAGGCCTCTCAGACCAGGGCTCCAGTCTCTGTTCAGCATCGGGGAGTCCTGGATCCCTATCAGCCCTGTCACCTGTTCCCTGCAGAATCCAGGATGGCCCCTGGCCTCTGGGACCATGCAATGAGAAATTGCTAGGTGTCCTCTGAGGTCTCTCTCCCATTTGGGGTGCCCAGGGCTGATCTGTGGCTCTCAGGTGCTGCCCCTCAAGATCCTGGGGGCAGGCCAGCTGGAGCAGGCAAACGCAGAGCAGACAGTCAGGGACAGAGTGTCTGCCTGGCTCACGGCTGTGAGCTGCATGGTAATCTGAGGAATTCCTGGGTGTGTGTGGCTGTGCCCAGGGTAACCCAAGCCATGAAGTGACCAGGGGTTGCCATGGTTAGGGACAGGTATGGTTTCTGGGTGGGACAATGGCCTGGCTGCTTCTTCAAAGCCCTGCTTGAATCCTACCTCTTCCACTCAGTCACAGAATCGTGGAGTCAGCAAGTCGAGGAGACTTCCTTGAACCCTGCAATTCCTGAGCATGGCTCCCCAGACCAACAGACACGCAGAATTGTCAGAGCTGGGGACCTTCTAGGTGCCATGGCTTGGTTTTCTGACTATAAGCCTCTGAATAAGAAGGCAGCTAAGACACCTCCTCTCAGCTCCATCCCACATCCCCTCCCCAACCCACCCAGAAAGATGGTCAGAATGGTTATTAGTGACACTTCTAATTAGACAAATGGTACAGATCTCAGAGTTTTCTGGAGAACCCATAAACCTTTGGAATTCTTTTCTTTGACCCCTACTCGGCCTACTTAAGGACATAATGTCCAGGCTGATTTCTCTACTAGCTGCCAGCAAATCAGTCTACCCCCCAAAATTTCACAAATAATATTCACTGATCCCAGACTGTCTGAAGTTTTTTCCTCCCCTCGTCCTTATGAATTCTGCTTTTGCCTTTGTTCCTTGATTCAATCTACTAACCACCTCCTCCTGGCAGGAAAATGGGTCGGGACATTAGCTCCGGCAGTGGCCTCCCTGGCAGGAAAGTCGGAGGCTCCCTGTTTACCTCCAGATCCAAGTGTCAGACTTCACTCGGACCTTGGGGAGCGGCCATGCCATGGAGAGCCCCAGGACCCTCCTGTGTCCACCTTCCATCCAGGGAGGGAAGCAGAGAGGGAACTGCCAAGAACTGGGATGCAGACACCAGTGGGCACTCATGGGTTATCTCTGGCCTGGGCTCACGGTCTTTTTTGTTTTTTTAAAGATTTTTATTGGGGAATTGGGGGAAGGGGAACAGACAAGTTGCTGTCATTTTGTTCTTAAGTCTAGTTGTGGAGGACGTTGCTCCACTGGCCCAAGATGGCACCATCATTGCGCTCTTCCCGGGCAAGGCAGATCAGTCGCCGGCTTCTGGACGGCCGCTCACTGCGGCTGTTGGCCGCTCATGCTGGCCGCTGGCTACACTCGGTAGCCCATGGCAACCCACTGCAGCAGGGGCTGCAGCCTATGCCACCACCGGTGACTCACGGCAGCCCAGCTCCAGGTTGAGCTGTTGTTCACCATCTCTTAGCTGTAGAGGGCAGTGTCACTGGCCCTCATATGTGGATCCGAACCAGGGCCCTCTGGCGTCCCAAGCCAGCTCTTAACCATCGCGCCACTCGGCCAGCCCTGGGCTCACATTCTAACCGCACCCCCAGCTAGGTGACACTGGTCTTGTCTGGAGATGCCATCAGTGCCGTGTCCCACCCTGGGTGAGGGGAAGAGTGAGAGAGGCTTTATCAGTGCAAAGGGCTCCCTGTGAAAGCCACTTGCTGTGCCTATGCAATGGACAGATGTCAAGGGCCTGGACACAGCCTCTCCTTGGGAGCCCAAAGTCACAGAGGGACCAAGAATGGGGAAGGTAGTGGGGGGCCTCCTAGGCAGCTGAGGGGGTCATGGTGCCAGGACTTCCAAGGGGATAGATCCCTGGCCCTGAGAACATCTTACTGTGACTCCTCAGGGACAACCCCCGGGCTTCCTCGGACTCTTCCAGCCCTGTCTCCCTGAGTCCCCTTCACATTCCTGACAACCTGAGTGACTTGTGCCGCTCACTTGCCTGGCATCGTCCTGCCTCTGGCTTTCTATTCATGTAGTGCCCCTTCCTGAATGCCATCTCTCCCAGCCAACCTAACCCACCTAAGGCCAAAAAGTGTGAGAACATCTAGACTAAATGATCTCTGCGGTCCCTTCTTGTTCTGATGGTCTTTGAACCCACCTCTTGGGATCAGCTCAGTCCTGGCTGAGTGAGACCATATTTGTCTTCCTGAGTTTCAAGGCGGAGAAGTGTAGGGGGGGGGGTGTATGAGTGTTTCTAATATCAAGGTTTTGGGGGTCAAGGAGCATGCTCCCTCCTCTGTCCCCTTTCTGAGGCAGAACCCAGACTCACAGCAAACCCAAATGGGGCAGTAGTTCCCCATCTCAGGGCAAAACACTGAGACTCTCACTGACCCCTCCCTGACCTCCCAGTGGTTTCAAGGCCTGCGGAGCCACGTAAACCTGTGGTGTACAAACTGCTTCCTTCTGCAACCACAGACCACAGAAGCCATGGCTGGAAAGAGAGGATGAGCCAGACGGAGGGATACGGCCAGATGAGTCCCTGGACCCCAGTGTCTAGCAGCAGACCTGGCAGTCTCGGGAGGCTGGGTCCCTGGGTCGCACGGGTGGGGCTGAGGGCAGGCGGAGCGTCACTCACATAGATGAGGTGGTCCCGGTAGCGGATGAGCAGGTTGCGCAGGATGCCGGCCTCATTGAGGTCCCCCAGGCGGATCATGTCCTCCACACCGTGGACCGACGTAGGGTGCATGGGCTTGATGTGCGTGGCATTCTGCGGGGAGATCCAGTGTTCCTGCGGGGAGGCATAGCAGCTAATGTCAGGTCCTCTCCTGGGGCAGAGACTGTGCACTTCTGGGGAAGGGACCCAGGAAGGAAGGGAACCCCCAGTCTGTGAGACCCTGGTAAGGGCCTCACCCTCTTTTGTAACCAAATGCTATCAGTTATTGCAGGTTTGAGTCTATGAGGATGGTGCTGCCCACCCCCAACCCCATGGACCCCTCCTCTCCTCTTAGGGGATTCTCTCTGCAGACCTAACAGGTGGACAGGCCAGGGACTTCGGCCCCACCTTACAGTTGTCATAAAGGAGATTAGAGTTCCCCAGTCACTTTGCAGGATGGAGTGGAAAGTGTAATACTTAGAATTAGACTTGGCTTCAAATCTAGGCTCTGGTAAACAAATGCATAAAATGTAACTTCAGATAATGCCAAGAATAAACAGGTGCATGGGATGGAGAATTACCAAGGTAGCTACCTTAGATAGGGTGGTCAGGGGCCACCTCTCTGAGGAGGTGACGTTTAAGCTGAGACCCGAATGATGAGCAAAAACCCCTGTAGGAGGTGGAGATCCCTGGGAGAGGGAAATCGGGGTCCAGGGAACAACAAAAGCAAAGGCTCTGAGGCTGGTGGGGGCAAGGCAGCAGCAGTGGAGATGGGAGAAGTGGGCCCATTTGGGATGTAGTTCACAGGGCTTGTTGATGAATGTGGAGCAGGGGTGAACTTTCAGTCCTTGCGAGCTGAAGGAGAAACTAGGACAGAGGTTGTCCTCTGGCTCCCCCTACTCTCCCCTGCAATATTTCCTGTAGCCACAGGGTGGCAGGCGGTGCAGCATCCAGCGATAGCACTGACTCAACCAGCTGGCAAAGCTGTTTCCTCCCAGCTCTGGAAGCCTCCCCTCCCCCAGGTGGTCTCCAACATGTCTCTCAATCCCAGCTGCTGAGGGAAGTGAGAGTCTGACCTGTGCTCTCGAGTGTGGCTATAGCCTGGGTCAAGCCCCCATGGTCCTCTTGGGGCCCTCTCCCTCTTCCCAAGTGACAGAACCCAGGGAGCCCCAAGACTAGGTAGGAACCTGAGCTTTGGGAAGGGGGGTGTAAAGGGGACCCCTTTGCCACCTACCAGCTCAAGCCCTCAGGCTTGCTGAGTAGGTGTGGTGCACATTTATGAACACTCACACTTGCTTCTCCTCCAGGTCCCCTCTGGAATAGCCAACCCCAATGGCTGGACACTAGCAGGAATCTGGGTATTAGCTCCCCCATCCCATCCCATCCTACCCCCAATCCCAGTGGTCACCCATTCCTACCCAGTTCCACTGGTCATCCATTCAACACTCTCAAGGGCTGCTGGGTGGGCAGTGTCTTCCTCACCAACCTCAGACTTTACCCTGATCCAGACCATCATCTCTCACCTGGCCCCTGCCCCTTGCTGTCCTTCACTTTACCTCCAGCTCTCCCCTGCCCCCAACCTCTCATCCCCTGGGAGTTTCCTCAAGCACCAGTATGATCCCACCACTCTGGGGCTTTGAGCGCTTCCCTGACTCCCCCTGTGCTCTTTAGCCTGGCATTTAAGGGCCAACATGAGCTGGACACAGGGACTGCTAGCCTTCGCCCCGGTTACCCCGTACTTCCAACCAGGGACGGTTGGCCTCCACTTCCCCAAACACCTCTGTGGCCTTGCTCATGCTGTTTCCTCTACCTTCTTTCCACTCAGCCTTTGAGGCTCAGCTCAGATGTTCCCCAGTTTGTAAAGTCTTCTGCGACAACACTGCTCACTCTCACATGACCCACCTGTGCCGTCCCCCCCACCTCTACTGCAGGACAGATTGGGGCCTCCTCTGGGTTCCCACATTGCCTGGGTCTCCCATTGCAAGGCCGTGGTCACCCTGGGTGGCTGGTGTCTGAGTGCAGCTCTGTCCCTGACCTCCCAATTTGCCCCAAGGCTGAGAGCTCCTGGAGGCCAGATTCCATGTCTGCTAAATCCCTTCCACAGTGACTGGGATACAAAATGACATGGCAGGGAGTCAGGCACCAGACACAAATGATGTGGCAGAGAATCTCTAATGGGACCTATGGCCAGCTGGTCACTACTGATGACCAGGTATGAATTAGAAGCAGAAGTCCCAGTCATGGAAAGACCTCAGAGGTCCCCTATTCCAACCCCTTCACTTCACAGGAGAAAATAGGGTCAGGGTGGGGTGGTGGCCTGCACAAGGCCCTCGGAGGGGTCAGGGGCGGCGCCAGCCGTTACTTATCATATTCCAGTCTCCCCAGCATTTCAAGGCATCTCCAGGGCCCGGGGCATCTCAGTACAGGTCAGGCCCTCACATAGCTCTCCCTGAGGCATGAATGGGCCAGGTGGTGAGATCAAAGAACCCGCCTAGACTTTCCAGTCCCCAATGGAACATTCCTCTCTCCCGGGTACCCTATTTCTTGATAGAAGTTGATCTAATTGGAAAATTCCCTCTGCTTGGTCCCTGCTCACTGACTGGGTCCTAAGCCCCAGCATGGGCCAGAGGGAGAGGACTCCTGGGAAGGCTGTCTGCCTTCCCCACTCAACCCCAGCTCTGGTGTCATAATTTCCCCGTCCCCAGCAGTTCAGCACAGAGTTAAGAGGAGGCTCAGCGACTGTGTGACCCTGTATCCTTGTGCGTGTCACTTTGCTTCCCTGAGCCTCCATGACCTCATCTATGACATGGGAATTAGAATAGCAGTCCCTTCTTCTTGGGAGGTTGGGAAGATTTGTTGATATAATAAAGGCCAACCTTTGTTTATACCTGCCAAGTCTAAAAATCACTGGTAGGGGGCCGGCCGAGTGGCTCAGTTGGTTAAGAGTGTGAGCTCTGAGCAATAGGGCCACCGGTTCGATTCCCACATGGGCCAATGAGCTGCACCTGAGCTGAGCTGCCAACAAGTGGCAGGATGGCTCAGCTGGTGCGAGCACGTGCTCCTAGCAACAAGGTTGCCGGTTCAACTCCCACATGGGATGGTGGCTACACCTGCCCGCAACTAAGATTGACCACAGCACCTTGAGCTGAGGGGCCGAGCTGCCGATGGGTGGCCAGATGGCGACTGGACTTGGAACTGAGCTAGCTGCGTCCTCCACAACTAAGACTGACGGACAATAACTTGGCTGTTCCCCTTCCCCAATTCCCCAATAAAATCTTTAAAAATTTTTTTAAATAAATAAATAAATAAATATAAATTTAAAAAAAAAAGCACTAGTGCCTAGTAATTGCTCCACCAGTGCTGGGTATTATAATTCTAATGCTTTCTGGTTTTACAAAGATGTATGTCCTCATTTGCTCCTCATAACAGAATTACCGGCCCCTGTTTTACAGTGAGGCACCACACTCAAGAGGTAAAGTGGCTCACCCAGTAAAATGACAGCGCTGAGCCTGTCCCCACCCCTTTCCTGCATGGAATGTCTCCCAGCTGAGGTCAGCACCCCTTGGGTCAATGTCCACAGGCACCTACAGCAGGGACCAAAGTGTAACCAGGGCAGAAACTGAGGCCTGGCCCTGAATGGATGCCAGAGAGAGGGAGAGAGGGAGGGAGAGAGAATATGGCCAATTCCCAGGGACTGGGGAGACATTTGGGAAAGAGCTGGCCTGGCACTGAACTCGGAGAGACAGGGACTACATGATCTGAAGAGAAAGGAAAGGAGGGGTGCACCTGTCACTGGGAACAGCTTGGGCAAAGGCAGAGTATTACGATTCCAGCAAGGACCGGAGCCATAGCCATTCATTCATTCATTCATTCATTCATTCATTCATTCATTCATTCATTCATCTATTCATTCAGCAAGTCTTTATGAAGAACATTCTCTGGGAAGACTCTTTGTTGGACTCGGGAACTAGCTGTGACTTACCAGGCCCTGCTCTCAAGTTGAGGGAGTCTGTGGGAAGACAGAGGAATAAAAGAAATGGCCTGCAGAGGAGAGGAGGGCATCGGAGTGAGAAACGTTTGTGAAAATGGGGGCCAGAAGCGACAGGGGCTCAGTTCCATTGAGGCAACTGCAGCCTCCCTAACCTGCTCCAGGCCAGACCGTCATGGCCCCCCCCCCGCCACCACTCGGTAGCCCCCACTCTTAGGGCCTTAGTGGGAGTATGTGGGAGGGGACCTCTGGGATCCGGTGACACAGTTACGGGACACCATCTGACAAGCAACATGACCCAGGTGAAACTGAAGCCTGCAGGCAGAGTCCCTGGGCCCCACCCTGGGGGCTTGCAGGCAGGTTCCTGGGCATGTTTGTGCTGCCAGCCCCCCTTCTGTAGCTGCGACCTCACAGTGCCTCCCTAGAGACTCCTCAAACTGGAGCCTCTGGAATGACATTGCAGGCACTCCAAAACCCAGGGGACAAATGCATGGTTAATAGAGCTTGAGCCCGCAAGTTGCCACTGAGATGTTGGGAGGAGAAACGCATGCACCGGGGCCAGAGGTCGTGGGTCCTAATCCCAGCCCCATCACTTACTAGCTGTGTGATTAGTAAGTGGTCCCTCTCTGTGCCCCAGGTTCCCGTGGGATAACAGTGGCTTCCCTCCCTGCTTTCTCAGACGCTGTGAGGACCCAAAGATGGAAATGGGTCAAAGGACTGTACAAACCCTGAAGGGGGTGTCCTTCCCCCCAGCAGAGCCTCCTGCTCCAAGTCGCTGCACTCTTTCTCCCCTGTGATACCAGGAGGCTAAGACAAGGACTTGGTCCCATTTCTACATCCCCAGCGCCAGTGGAACTGCATCTTCCCAGGTCCCTCATGTCCCTGCTAAGCTGAAATGGTGTTCTTTGCACAACGGCCACATGTCCCCACACCACGCACACGAATTGCACACATGTGCAGAGGCCCCACGCTTCCCACCTGGACCCTCGTCCAGACCACCCACCTTCTCCAGGGCAGGACCCTGACTGCAGGCCTTTCCTTCCGTCCCCAAAGCCCCACTCTCACTACCTACCAACTCAGACTTCCTGTGTCCCTTTTCTTCAGGGCCACAGGAGATAAAGGGTTAATCTGTCAGGTTGATTCCCAGGGCAGCACCAAGGTAGACAATGAATTCACATGATGCCGTAACCCAATAAAGCGAGACTAAGGGCGCTTTCAGACTCTCACTTTACTGAGGTGTTCTCCACGTGTGATCTCACTTGTGGGTCAACGCCCCGTGAGATAGTTCCTATCATCCCCATTTTACAGAAGGGGAAACTGAGGCTCGGAAGGGAATGAGACTTGGTGAAGCTTGCACAGCTAGTAAATGGGCAGGATCAGATCTGAATCTATCTGTCTGACCCTGAAGCACCCTGTGCCGGAGGAGCTGCCAGCTTGGTGCCATCCCCTGCCCCAGCACACACACACACACGTGCCCACACAGACACAAGTCTTTAATACTAGGCCGAGTGAACTAAAGTGTTTGTGGAAATAGAACAAATAGCCTGGGACAGAAGGGGAGGCTCCCTCTCGCAGGGGTACTGGGGAAAACTCCATGGAGAGGGGGGTGAGAGGCGGAAGTGGGGGCACGGGTACCACCTCCACCCCTTGCAGGCAGGTCACTGCCTGGCCCCTGCCTCAGGTCGCCTGTCAGCCTATGTCCTTCCCACGTCATGGGGGTGGGGGCAGTAGGAGGCTACTCACGTTGCCTTCATCATCCACCACCTGGATCTGCCCAGAGTCGCAAAGCTTCACCACTGCCCCGATGGGCACATCAAACTCCTGCCCAGACCTCAGGTCCATCCAGACATAGTCCCCCTGTAGGTGAGAGAAAGTGCCAGGACAGGTGAGCAGGGACAGGACTTGGCGCCCCTTACAGGCAGTCCTGTGCCCTGATGCTACAGCCACTAGCAGTGGTTCTCAACCTGTGGGTTGTGACCCCTTTGGGGGTCGAACAACCCTTTCACAGGGGTCGCCTAAGACCACCGGAAAACAAAAAGATATTTACATTACGATTCATAACAGTAGCAAAATTACAGTTATAGAGTAGCAACGAAAATAATTTTATGGTTGGGGGTCACCACAACATGAGGAACTGTATTAAGGGGTCACGGCATTAGGAAGGTTGAGAACCGCTGCTCTAGAGGCTCTCGTGCCAACTACAGGAGAAGGAAGAAAAGGGAACTCAAACTTGCTGGGAGTCATCTGGTGCCAGACCCTGCATTTTATGCAATGCCATCTACCTCTGCTCTGTAATAGCCATTAATGTCCCCGTTTTACAGATGAGTAAGCAGAGACTCAGACAGAAGAAGAGCCGAGACCACACAGCTGGGCAGCTTCAAACCCAGGCCTGTCCAAAGCCCAGCTCTTCCCAAACTCTACAGCCTACACATGTACAGCAGACTCATCAAAGTGTAGGCAGAAACACCAAGACATCCCTCTGTCCTAAAGCAGACAACCCCACAGGACACCCAAACAGCTTCCATGACCTCCAGGATCGACTCTCATAGTTGTAGTTATGGGCTCCTCACAGTGACACCACTCTGTACCGGGCCCTGTGGTACAAGTTCAGCCTCACCGCCACCTGGCTTGTGAGGAGAGCCCAGACATTGAGGGAGAGAGTTATCACGTTTGCATCCCCTGCAGTGTCTGGCACAGGGCCTGGCTCTTACTGCACACTCAGTAAGGGCACTCGGAAGACAAATCTAAAACCCAGAGTCAGAGAAATGGACTTAGAACAACTCTCAACAATGATGCATTCAATAACCATGCATTGAGCACCTGCTGAATACAAGGCACTGATTGATCGAAATGCTGGGGACTGAGCTGTGACCGTGGAGTCTACATTCTAGTTGGGTGGGGGCAGAAAACAAACAGCTGAGTAAATACATGATCTGTTGGATACTGGTGAGTGCTGTGATGGTAATAAGCACCCCAATAGTGGAGAATGAATGAGAGGTCAACCACAGATGCAGCAGCCGGGGAAGCCACTCTGTGGAGGTAGTCTCTGAGCTGAGACCTGAACAGCAAGAAGCAGCCAAACAAGGAAAGCACAAGGATAGAAATCTGGGCAGAGAAAATGACAAGTGCAAAGGCCCTGAGGCAGGAAGGAATAGTAAGGAGGTCATTGTGGCAGGACCTGATGAGAGAGGAAGGTCATAGAGGTGAACAACATGCAGGACACAAGGCTCTCATTGGCTTGGAGGTAAACATTTGGATCTTATTCTGATCCTAATAAGAGTGTTCTTTGTGGGTGGTGGTCCCCAAATTTCCCAGGAGGGTAAGAGAATGGTAGCTTTCCTAATAAAAATATAACTTACTATCAAGCAGCAGTGAGAAACAACAGCCGATAAAACCGATTCACAATGAAATAAGCCGAAGGGAACAGCCCCGTGGAAACAGCTCTGGGCCGTGAGGCAGGAGGTTGGGCTCTAGGACCTGCTTGGCCTTGGACAAGTCACTGACCTCTGTGAGCCTCAGTTTCCACATGTCTCAGTGAAGGATGGGCTCAGTGTGTCCCAAGACCAACTCATCACTATTTTAGCCCCATCCTGTTCCCACCAGAACCAGCTCTTTTTCAGACACAGCTGCCACTATGGGCCTTTGCTTCATAGTGGAGGTTAGCGCATGTTAGAGACAAGCTTGTCCCAAACCCAAGCTTTCTCTCAGAAAAAGTTGGAAAAATTGGACAGCTTCTGGGAGGGGAGAACTCACATATTCACTGAGCATCTGCTGTGTTCCCAGGGCTGCATGGCTGCTTTCATAAACTGCCCCCTGTAATCCTCATGACTGCTTTAGTCCCGAGCCCAAGCTGCACCTCCTGCTACACTCCTCACCTGTTCTAAGTGCCAGCCCTCAGACCACCTGAAACACCCCTACTTGGACTGTTCTTCTCCACCTTACCTCGCCCCACCTCTCCACTGACTGAATAACTACTCGTCTGTCCAGACCCAGAGCAAATAGCAACCCTTCCCTGGACCCGCACCCTTTCCCTCTTCCTCCTCTTCCTCCCCAACTCCTGAAGAGTTCACTCATTCATTCAGCACATATCTGGGAAGAGCCCCCGTAGGCTGGTCCTGTTCCAGGCTCTGGGGACACAGCAGTGAACAGGCAGCATGCTTGGAGCTGTGAGGCAGCCCCAGGCTGGAGCCAGATGAGGGGCGATGTGGGCAGGCACCAGGTCACACAGGCCCTGTAAGCCATGGACAGGAGGTGGACTTTCTTTTAAGTGTAAAAAGTAGCCACTGGGAGATTTTAAGTGGCAGAACGGTGTGATGGATTTACATTTTCAAAACTTCACCCTGGCTGCTCAGTGAAGAAGGGAGCAACCCTCCGTACAGCCAGCGCCAGACTGGGTCCGCTGCGCCATCATTACCTGTGTCCATTCCCCACTAGCCTGCAGCTCCCTGAGGGTGGGGCTGGGTTTGAGTCTTTCATCTGTGATCCCCAAGAGTCAAACACTGAAAAATAGAATTTGTCTTTAAGAGAGAGAGAGAGAGAGAGAGAGAGAATATATGTGAGTGTGTGTGTGTAAGAGAGCATATGACAGAATATGTGTGAGAGAAGAATGTGTACTGAGAGAGACAGAGAGAGA